GTTACCTATAAAGCCCTAAATGGCATAGGGCCTGGTTACCTGAGGTACCACCTGTTTCTTACAACATCTGCCTGGCTGATTTGATCCTGCAGGATTGGCATGCTCCGGGTTCCATCGATTAAATAATGTCATCTCTCAGGGTCCCAGAAGTGTGCCTTCTCTGTAGCAATACCTGCCTGCTGGAACAAGATTCCCCCTGAGATCCAGATGGCTCCCATTTTGCTGTTGCTTAGAAGAAGCATGAAGACCTGGCTCTTCACCCAGACCTTTGGCAAGGGAGAGTGAGACCCCTCACTTCATCGTGTTTGCCATCTCTTATCTTTTTTAAGTTTTATTGATTCTATTATAATTTCTTTGATTGTTGTGAGCCACCCAAAGTCATTGAGAGTCAGGCAGCATGCAAGTTTAATCAATTCTTCTTCTTCTTTTGTTGTTGTGCAATCGCTCTCTGTTAAGCAAGACAAACCTCTGCTTTCCTGCCAGTCTTGGTGGTACAAAACGGGACAGGAAAAGGAAGCATTTCATTAGTTTATGTCCTTCTGGACACCTTAGCATAGAACAGAGCCAAGGAGCTAGCAAGAGCCTCTCCAGCTTCAGATTTGGAGAAGTATTCTTGATTTTGTCTCAGGGTACTTTAGAAATCCAACAAGTAAATATATGCAGCCTTGCTCCAAATTCTAAGGTTTGCAGCCAAGTAAATACACTTCTTATTTTGGCACAATAGAAGCTGACAATGGCTTCTTAGGCCATGCAGCATTCAATCGGCAACCAAACCCCACCTATTCTGTTGGTGCTAGAAAGGCAGCAAAGGAATTTCATTTAATCTTATATAGAGGCAAACTGTGATACTAATGATAAGTGGAAGGACAGGGTGTTGACAACCATGAGTTTTAAAAGACTATAAAAACTGTAGACCTCTGATTATATTAAACAGCTGACACAAAAATAGCCATGTTTTCATTAATGAATTACCATGTACAAGTTTATATCAGAATACAAATCTAACTGGTACAAGAACTATGTGCTGTAATGGTTTATATTTTACATTTTTAGCAAGGGGCAAAGTTCTAAGTGCACTTCATATATTCAGTTTAAAAGAAATGAAAAGATTATACCAACATAGAAAACAAAGCTGGAGCACCCCATGAAAAGTTAACAGATGGTGGCATATAGAACATGCACAATGAAGAAAAAGAAAGTTAACAGAGAAATGAATGCTGACAGACTTAAGGTATAGCTGATAAAACGATAGGCATAAAAAGAAAATATATGAAGAGAAAAAATAGAAACATTGGGTACAGAGAATTTGTGGAAAATGAAAGGGGGTACTGAAGAGATAAGAGTTCAGAAGTGTCTCTTGATTAGGGAAAAAGTAGCAAAAAGGATGACAAATTAACTGTGATATACGGTGTAGAAAGAAGCAGTTCAAGGGCATACATACACACACATACAGAGAGAGAGAGAGAGAGAGTAGGATTGAGGGCAGGGGACTGAAAAAACTACAGAAGAAAACAAGAGAATTACATATACAAGTGGATACAAAAGCAACACATACTGTAAAAGATATCTATATATCTATCCTTTCAAAAATAACACATTTCTGTTTAATCTCGTCAGCTTGCCCATACAGTGGGGCAAAAAAGTATTTAGTCAGCCACCAATTGTGCAAGTTCTCCCACTTAAAAAGATGAGAGAGGCCTGTAATTTTCACTATAGGACAAGACCACTGATAATCTCCCTCGAACAAGACCACTGATAATCTCCCTCGAACAAGACCACTGATAATCTCCCTCGAACAAGACCACTGATAATCTCCCTCGAACAAGACCACTGATAATCTCCCTCGAACAAGACCACTGATAATCTCCCTCGAACAAGACCACTGATAATCTCCCTCGAACAAGACCACTGATAATCTCCCTCGAACAAGACCACTGATAATCTCCCTCGAACAAGACCACTGATAATCTCCCTCGAACAAGACCACTGATAATCTCCCTCGAACAAGACCACTGATAATCTCCCTCGAACAAGACCACTGATAATCTCCCTCGAACAAGACCACTGATAATCTCCCTCGAACAAGACCACTGATAATCTCCCTCGAACAAGACCACTGATAATCTCCCTCGAGAGAACTTGCACAATTGGTGGCTGACTAAATACTTTTTTGCCCCACTGTACCTATGAACCACCACTACTCTCCAGATAGGCATCATCTTAGATTTATTTATTTATATTTATTATTTATTTATTATAACATGCTTGCACAATACACTTGTTATTAACACTGCTATTAATCTGAGACTAATGAGACACTGAATAATCACAGAAAACTCCCTGCAATAAGGAACCTTACCTGGACGAGGTAAGCAAGAAACAAACTATGATAATATTGAGATATTTAGACAGACTGAGATATGGAGCACAATTCAAAACCATTTACTGATTTGAACAAGAATGCTAAATCTAAACATAATATGGCTTAGTGGTTATGTGAGTACAGTAAGAACATGAGAATAACCCTGTTAGATCAAGCCATGCTTATTTTAGTATAGCATTTTGTTTCTCACAGCAGCCAACCAAATGCCTGTGAGCTGTTCACACAAGGAGAGGGAGATTTCCTTTCTCAACAATATTTTCCTGCAATGAGTATTTGGAAGCATATTGCCCCCAACCAAGAAGGTTCTGTTCTGCATTAATTTAGCCAATCCCCTTTTCAAGCCATCAGCATTTATTTATATAGGAAATTTATATAGCCACCCACCTTAAGCAAATAACTCTAGGCAGCTAATAATACAAACCAATGAATACAATTAAAATACAATTTAAAACAGACATAATAAATACAGAATACAAAAGCTGATGCATCTCGCACATTATCTTCAATTGCAGACTCATTGTATCGGGCTCTGCTAACAACCCAGCCCTAAAGCCTGAGGGAATAAGCCAAGTTTTTACAGCCTTCCAAATGCCTAATAGGGTCAGGGCTGTCTGGATCTCTGGAGAGAGGCTGCTTCCACAAAGCAGGCACTGCAACAGAGATGGCACATCTCCTGGGGCCCGTAAGATAGCATTGTTACACTAAGAGGACTCAAAGCATGCCCATCCTGTGCCATGTAGTGTTTTAAAGGTGATAACCAGCACCTTGAAGTGCACCCAGAAGCCTGCTAGAAGCCACTGCACCTTGCACTGCATTCTGGGCCAGCTGAAATTTCCAAATGATTTTCAAGGGCAGCCCCCATGTGGACTGCATTGCAGTAATCAAGATGAGAAGTGACTAAGGTGTGAGTGACTGTGAACTGATGTGGATTCATCACCAAGGATTTTGTCACTTCTGAAGAAACATTTCCCTCATCCTCCAAACAATACCCTCCTTCTCCAAGATCCTTGTTCTTTGTGACAGCAAGGGAACTATTATCCTGGGAGTAGCAGAAAGTACCACATCCTGGAAGCTATAAGTATCTCTCTGGCTTTTTAAGAATCAGCAATACAGCAACCTCAGGTTCCAAGAAACTGACTTGATCCCTGAGAGCCAGGAGTTCATTGCACTGAACATAAACCTACAACCTGTGCCCAACAGACAGAAAGTCAGACAACTTACACTTTACATAATACTGGAAAGGACATCTTCCTTGCTTTCATTGTAGTTATTACTAATAACTTGGTTTCCTTCTTCTTTAGAAATTGTTCGACCTAAACAATAGCCCCTATGTTAAATTTTTACAGAAACTGAGGCCTGAATTCTCCACACAATTGTTAATTTAACCTTGATGTTTAATCTGTAGAAAACACAGGTCACTGTGCTTTACCCTCACAAGACTCCTCCTGTATCTGTTTGCCCTCTAGGTCACAAGCTCTCAAATGCCACAATCTGTAACAAGTGTAAAACAACAGACAATCTGTAAAAATTGTAAACAACAAACAATCTGTTTGCCTTCCAGGTCACAAGCTCTCTTTCTAAAGAGTGCTGGCTGGGACTAAGCTGTTGGCTAAGGAATGCTACTCCATCACCTGATAAATGAGCCATCAGCATCTATAAGACCCTCCAGCTCAGACTGTTCTCAGCAAGCAAGCAGACACATCCTGCTTAGTCATAAAAAGACCATACAGCCTTACCCAATTATGCAAATAACCCCCCTTAAACAAGCTCCCCAAATTCACCAATTATCTTGCAAATCTCCCCTATTCCTGTTTGCTCTCGTTTCCTGACTCTGGCTATCAGCTCCCAAGGCATGAAATAATCTGTAGGAATCCGGTAGCATCTTTCCAGACTAACAAATTTTATTAAAGGTATAAGCTTTCATGAGCTCATGCATGGAGTGGCTAAACTGATGCAGAATTTAAATTGGGATGATATGGGGGAAGGGAAGATAGGGCATTCATGCAGGTGCAGGTTACACATAAGACAGACTGCAAGTATCTTATTAATTAACAACTGTAATGTGTTAAAAATGTGATTTTAAGACCTATTCTGAAATAGCCTGAAATTATCTGAAGGTCTGAAATGGAAGAGCTCATCTATTTCAGAAAGTCTTAACAAACACATGTTTTAAGAAATTACAATAAAATGAGCTGTAGTTCATGAAAGCTTATGTTTTTTAATAAAATGTGTTAGTCTGAGAAGATGCTACCAAACTCCTTTTAATTTTGGGGTACCATAGACTAACGGTT